TTTTGGATGAGACAACATCTCTTTAAGACTTTCTGGCTCCCCTTCATCATTGATGAGGACAAACTCTAAGGAAGGGTACTTGGATAACTCTACCCTTTGTCTTTCTGATCTCCTCAGAGGTTGAGATTGTTCTTCTTCTTCCTGGTACTCCACTTGCTCGGTATTATCACCAAGTTGCTCCCTCTAATCAAAAATCTCATTAGGTTGCTCTTCATGTTTAGCAACTTCATCGATCGTACTTTCTGCACTTATAGGATGGTTAGAAGTAAAAGGAATGGTAACAAGATTAAGGATTGTACCATTCTTTTGCTTGGCTTTCTCAGATAGATCATCAATAGTTCCAACTTCACTTTCTCGGAAAATTACATCTCTGCTTCTGATGACGTTCTTCTTTACAGGATCCCATAGTCTATACCCGAACTCTTCATCTCTATATCCGATGAATATGCAGGGAACTGATTTATCATCTAGCTTGGTTCTCTGCTCTTTCGGTACATGTGCAAAAGCTTTGCAATCGAACACCTTTAGGTGCGAGTAAGACATTTCCTTGTTGGTCCAAACTCTCTCCGGAATGTCAAACTCTAACGAAATTGATGGACTACGATTGATAAGATAACATGCTGTCCGAAATGCTTCACCCCAAAATGACTTAGGTAATTTAGCCATTCTTAGCATCTTTCTCACCTTCTCAACAATGGTGCGATTCATTCTCTCAGCTACACCATTGTGTTGTGGGGTTCCAAGAACTGTTTTTTCATGTATGATTCCATGGTTTGAATAGTACTCTTCAAAGTCTCTTGAAGTGTACTCACCTCCATTGTTAGTTCGGAGACGTTTTAGTTTCCAACCCGTCGCTCTTTCTACCAGAGCATGAAAATTTTGAAATACTTGAAACACCCGATCTTTGGTTTTCAAGATATAAACCCACAATTTTCGTGAAGCATCATCAATAAAGGTAACAAAGTATTTATTACCTCCCATCGATTCTATCTCCATTGGACCACAAACATCAGAATATACTAAACCAAGTATATTCAACTTTCTTTCAGATGATGTCTGAAATGAGACTCTATGTTGCTTACCAAATAAACAGTACTTACAAGGTTTTATTGTTGTACCTTTGGCAAACGAGATGAGTGATTTTTTGGAAAGAATTTGCAATCCTTTCTCGCTCATATACCCATTCTTCTATGCCACAAATCTACAGAAATCTCTTCGTGAGCCGTATTCAATTCACTTTGGCATATTTCTGCATTTGTCCTGTACAACGTGCCACAAGCAACTCCTTTTGCAATCAACAATGCTCCTTTGGTGAGTCTCAATTTTTTATTTGCAAAGTAGTTCTCATATCCATCTCGGTCCAAAGCAACTCCCAAGATCAAGTTCATCCGCAGATCAGGTACGTGGTGCGCATCTTTCAAAACTAATGTGCTTCCGACATTTGTCTTTATGCAAACGTCTCTGATCCCCACAATCTTTGAGCAACTTGTGTTACCCATTTTCACATTGCCAAAATCACCTGCTACATATCTGCAAAAAAATCTCTTACCGGTGTGGCATGGTAAAATGTTGTTGTGTCGACCACCCATTTCGACTCTACACCTGCGAAGTGCATGCATTCCTCTTCCTCGTTTATGAGGAGAACAACATTGTCATTATTTTACACCATTGCAGTTGTGTTGTCATCATTTTTCGGGCCGCTGCTTTCTCTTTTACCCCTTTTTAGATTTGGACAATCTCTTTTGAAGTGACCTGGTTGATCGCAATTGTAGCAATTTCTGGCATTTGATTTTGATCGGACCTTGGACTTTCCACGAGCTCCGGATCTACCATAGTTACTTGAGCTCCTTTGGTAACTTATGCCTCTACTTTCAGTGATGAGAGACTTCTCGTGATTCTCAGGCTTTTTTCTCATTTTCTTATTAAGCAGAAAGGCTGATGTGACATCCTTCAACTCAATAGAGTCCTTACCATGTAAAATGGTTGTTGCCAAATTATCGTAGGAAGATGGCAACGAGTTTAGGAGCACTTTGGCTTTATCTTCCTCATCGATCTTTACTCCGAGGTTTGCTAGCTGCGTGATTAGTCGATTAAGCACATTTAAGTGGGACAAAAAAATTGTACCTTCACCCATATGTAGGGCATATAATTGCTTCTTTAGGTAAAATTTATTTGTCAGTGTTTTAGACATGTATAGATTTTCTAACTTTGTCCAAATGTCACATGCACTCTCTTCATCGATGATGTTATTTACCACATCATCTGTTAAGTGCAACCTGATTGCACTTGCAGCCTTTTCATCCATTTCTTCCCAATCCCCAAGTTTCATGGATTCGGGCTTTTTTGGATTTGCCGTCTAGTGCCTTGTGCAAACCTTGTTGGATGAGCAAGTCTCTCATCCTTCTCTGCCATGTTGAGAAACCGCTATCACCGTTGAATTTTGCTACCTCGTACTTTACTCCAGACATTTTTTTTTTCAAAAAATATATTTGTAAATGAGCAGAACCTGTGCTCTGATACCAATTGTTGGGAATAAACCCGCAACAGAAATAATATTTGCGGTAATAAAAGCGAAACACAACAATATGGTTAATCAACAAGAATAAAAAGAGCAATAATGACACCAAGATTTTACGTGGAAACCCTATTGAATAAGGGAAAAACCACGGCCCGAGAGGAACAACTGATATCACTATAGTAAGGATTTTTACACTTGTAGGTCTGAGTAAAAAACTCCAAAGACCACTACACATTCAAAAGAAATAACCCTCTTTTGATTTTTCCCACCTCACTACAATATCGCTCACACTCTCTATTTTTCCTCACAGACTATTTTCCTCTGTGATGCCTCACTCTTCTTTTCTCTCCTTTGTTTTTGGTACATTTGAGAATGAAGAATGACCCTCTCTTTATAGATAACAAATGGAGTAGCCTCACAACTTTTTTCTTCTTCACAGCTTACCAACATTTGACTTTTGAGGAAAGCTGGAAAAAAAATCTGCACATGTATATCCGATATCTTCCAAATCTGCCAACCCTTTGACATTGTGAGATTTATCAAAGTTTGGCACATGGGGATGGACCCCACAAAAATTCCTCAATCTTTGGTCAATTGCAAATAGTTGCAAGTTCTTGATTTAGGAGATAATCATCTCATTGATATATTCCCGATGTGGTTGGGAACTCTTCCAAAGTTGCAAGTATTAAGCTTGAGATCCAATGAATTGCATGGGTCCATTAGAACTCCAACGATTGAAAACATATTTCCTAATCTTCGAATGTTAGATCTCTCTTCCAATGCCTTCATCGAAAACTTACCAACGGGTTTGTTTCAACATTTGAAAGCCATGAGGACAATTGATCAAACTATGAACACACCACATTATGAAGGAACTGATGGATATTACCAAGACTCGGTAACTGTCGTATCCAAGGGATTTTGAGAATCTTGTGTTTGTACACCGTTATCGATCTTTCAAGTAATAAATTTGGAGGGCAGATTCCAAGTATCATGGGGGAACTCATTGCAGTTCACATATTGAATATATCACATAATGGATTGGAAGGTCATATACCGTCATCACTTGGAAGTTTATCTTTGGTTGAATCATTGGACCTATCAAGTAACCATCTTGTAGGAAATATACCAGCACAATTTGCTTCTCTTACATCTCTTGAAGTCTTCAATCTTTCCTACAATCATCTCGAATGGTGCATTCCTCAAGGAAATCAATTTCAGACCTTTAAGAACAATTCATATGAAAGTAATGATGGATTACGTGGATTCCCACTTTCAAAAGGCTGTGGTGATGATTCAGTATCAGAGACAAATGATACCGTTTCTGGACTAGACGATGAAGAAAGCAATTCTGAATTTTTGAATGATTTTTGGAAAGGTGCTCTTATGGGCTATGGGAGTGGACTATGTATTGGACTATCCATAATATATTTCATGATTTCAACTGGAAAACTGATGTGGCTTGCAAGAATCATTGTAGAGCTGGAGCACAAAATAATGATGGGAAGGAGAAAGAAGCAGCGAAGGCAAAGGAATTACAGAAAAAGAAATAATCAGTTATGATGTCACAGTGGCGAGATTGATAATGAACTATTTTATTCAGAATGGCAAGTAACTGGTTGAGATAAGCAACTGATAATATCGTTCAGGACTATTTTATCTTTCAAATACGTATGTGAGATGAGTTGATCGTTTCTTCACCTATTCTTGTTGGTTGTTTCTGCAATTATTTTTGATGGTATTCCTTTGAGAGAAAGGCTTTGTAATCTGTATAACCTATTGAGCGCACTGTACTGAACTTCCGAAATGTGTTTTTTAAGTTGCATTTGCAGAATGGGATTTGCTGCTTACGCCATATGCCAGACGTTCGTTAGCTGAGATTTGTACCAGACGCACGTGAATCACATACGACCTCAGGCAAAAGTGCACATTTTGAGAAAAAAAAAATCAAGATACCCATTCTTAGAAATGACCCTTTTTCACATAAGCTCCACCCCTGGTTTCAGTGATTTGGTATTTTCAGGGGGAATAACTCATAGTTTAATGACTTTATTGTCACAAAAACAGTTACAAAGAGTATGTTTAATAAATAGCTCGTATTGTTATGAAGAGTTAATTTAGAAATGACCATCGGTGCAATTATCCTCAAAATTTTGTGATGAAGGTAAATGAGAAAGTAACACAATATACAATTCTATTTTTAATAACAAAACTAAAAAGATGATTCTCTATCCTTTTAAAGTTTGTTTTCCTATTTAGGGAATTTATTTTCTGTATGATAGATGTGTAACACATGCATAAGAATTTGAAAAAGACAAAAAGAAAACAACCCAAATTACATATGAACAGACAGAAATGGTTAAAGTGTGAATGAGAGAAAGAGAAGCCAACAACATTTGGAGAAAACACGTTTCTGTTTGGTCTTCAATGATAAGTTTCATACAATATAAAATTTGAAAACCCAAAATAATAAACTCAAAATATGATGATGATTCCAAGCAAAATATTCTCTCTACTTCAGGTTTTCACTATTTTATATCTCCATATAGTTACTTTTGCTTCCATCGAAGAAGCAACTGCCCTCTTGAAATGGAAAACAAGTTTCAAGAACCAGAATAATTTCTTATTGGCTTCGTGGAAGCCAAAGTCTAATGCATGCAGGGACTGGTACGGAATTATATGCTTTAACGGTAAGGTAAGCAAGTTGAATATTAGAAATACTAGTGTCATTGGTACACTTGATGGTTTTCCGTTTTCATCTCTCCCTTTTCTTGAGTATCTTGAAATTAGCATGAACTATTTCTCTGGCACCATTCCACCTGAAATTGGTAAACTCACTAATCTTATCTATCTTGATTTATCGAATAATCAGATTTCAGGCACAATCCCAACGCAAATTGGCTCACTCGCCAAGCTTCAGATCCTCCATATCTTTGACAACCATTTAAATGGTTTCATTCCTGAAAAAATAGGTCATCTAAGGTCTCTTACTGAGCTAGATTTGAGTTCTAACACTCTTGATGGTTCTATTCCTACTTCATTGAGGAATTTGACCAACTTGTCACTTTTGAATCTTTATAAAAATAACCTTTCTGGCTCCATTCCTGCAGAAATAGGTTACCTAAGGTCTCTTACTGATCTATGTTTGAACCGTAACTCTCTTAACGGTTCTATTCCTGCTTCATTAGGGAATTTGAACAGCTTGTCTATTCTGCATCTTAGTAGTAATTACCTTACTGGCTCTATTCCTGAAGAAGTAGGTTACCTAAGGTTTCTTACTGATCTACGTTTGAACGATAACTTTCTTAATGGTTCTATTCCTGCTTCATTGGGAAATTTGAACAACTTGACTATTCTGCATCTTCATGATAATCACCTTTCTGGTCCTATCCCTGAAAAAATAGGTTACCTAAGGTCTCTTGTTGGATTAAGTTTGAAAAATAACTCTCTTAATGGTTCTATTCCTACTTCATTGGGGAATTTGACCAAATTGACCCTTTTGAATCTTTATGAGAATCACCTTTCTGGCTTTATTCCTGAAGAAATAGGTTGCCTAAGGTTTCTTACTGATCTACGCTTGAACGGTAACTCTCTTAATGGTTCTATTCCTGCTTCATTGGGGAATTTGACCAACTTGTATGATTTACATTTGAGCAATAACTCTCTTAATGGTTCTATTCCCGCTACATTGGGGAATTTGAGAAACTTGCATGTTCTGTCTCTCAATAACAACAATCTGATTGAGGAAATTCCTTCAGCTATTTGCAATTTAACATCACTGGTAATCTTGTATTTGTCGAGAAACCACTTGAAAGGAAAAATTCTGCAATGCTTGGGTAATATCAGTGCCCTCCAGTATGTGATAATGTCACATAATAATCTCAGTGGAGAGCTCCATCCATCTATTTGCAATTTAAAATCACTGCATATTCTAGATTTAGGTAGAAACAATCTAAAGGGAACAATTCCGCAATGTTTTGGCAACATGAGTGGTCATCTTGAGGTTCTGGATATGCAACACAACAATCTTTCTGGAACTCTTCCAACCACTTTTAGAGCTAGAGCACTTAGAAGCTTCAACTTGCATGGCAATAAACTTAAGGGGAAAATTCCCCAATCTTTGGTCAATTGCAAAAAGATGCAAGTTCTTGATTTAGGAGATAATCACCTTAACGACATCTTCCCGGTGTGGTTGGGAACTCTTCCTAAGTTGAGAGTTTTAAGCTTGAGATTGAATAAGTTGCATGGACCCATTAGAACTTTAGGAAGTGAAAACATGTTTCTTGAGCTTCGAATGTTGGATATCTCTTCCAATGCCTTCACGGAAAACTTACCGACGAGTCTATTTCAACATTTGAAAGCCATGAGGACAATTGATCTGTCAATGGTAGCACCAAGATATGGATATTACCAAGATACGGTAGCTGTTGTATCCAAGGGATTGGAGTTTGAAGTTGTGAGAATCTTGTTTTTGTACACCACTATTGATCTTTCAAACAACAAATTTGAAGGAAATATTCCAAGTATTATGGGAGATCTCATTGCACTTCGTGTGCTGAATTTATCTCATAATGGATTGCAAGGTCATATACCGCCATCACTTGGAAGATTAACTTTAGTTGAATCATTGGACCTGTCAAGTAACCATCTTGTAGGAGAGATACCAGCACAATTTGCTTCTCTTACTTCTCTTGAAGTCTTAAATCTCTCCTACAATCATCTCGAAGGGTGCATTCCTCAAGGAAATCAATTTCAGACCTTTGAGAACAATTCATATATAGGTAATGATGGATTACGTGGATTTCCACTATCAAAAGGTTGTGGTAGTGATGATAATGATTCAGAATCAGAGAAAACTGATACCGGATCTGAGCTTGATGAAGAAAGCAACTCTGAATTTCTGAATGATTTTTGGAAAGCTGCTCTTATGGGCTATGGAAGTGGACTTTGTATTGGATTATCCATTATATATGTCATGATCTCAACTGGAAAACCGATATGGTTTGCAAGAATTATTGTGGAGCTGGAGCATAAAATTATGATGGGAAGAAGAAAGAAGCAGCGAAAGCAAAGGAGTTACAGAAGAAGCAAATAATCGCATGTAGAAGAGTTAAAAATTCAGGTATGCAGTTAAGTTCTAGTTTGAGCTTTAGATTATTGCAGCTAACTATATCTGAATATTTTCATATTAGTTATATCAGCAACTAATTGAATCCTCTACAAAGATTATTTCTCTGTCCAAAATTAGTTGGAACCTGTGATCCAATTATCTGGTTAGAGGCTTGGTTTAACAAGTAATTCTTCAAGTGTGAACCAAAAGTAAAATTCGTCGGACTTAATAACTTTCTTTCAAATTGTAATTTCATTTTAGCATAAAATAAAAGACTTGACTTTCTTTGTGTAAATATAAACATTAGACAGTAAATAAACAAATTCAAACATGCAGGTGGTTGTTGAAGAATTTGTTGGAATGCTCATCAGAGATGCAATAATATCAGAAACTGCAGCTTATGGTTTATAAGTAGGCTTTTTATTCTTCCTTTATTAAGTTCAGGAAATGTAATATTATGAATATTGATGATATATCAAGTTATGTAATGTTTTAACGTATTCAATGAAATACTATGTGTAGATTTCCATTGTACCAAAAAAGAAAATAAACATTGTGTGTGTCCCTGAGGAGACATTCGATTGAAAAAAATGAAATGTATTTTTCGCTATGGTGATATTTCAAGTAGGAAAAGTCAAACAACTGATAGTTAAGTTGTGTTTCAATAAGCAGTTGATGATAGTTCATGAGGTAGAAAATTCACGCACATGATTGTTCTAGTATGCAACACAGAAAATACACAGAAAATCGAGATACTTCAGATGTGTTTTGACCCTTCACTCTTTATATTTTGTGTGTTTCTGGATGAAAGAGGTAAGTTAGTCATGTATACGAGTTCAAATGCATTGAATGAAGTGTATGGCATCATATATTCTCTACCGACCGACTAGATAGTCTTTCTGTTGATGAAAAGAGAGAGAGAGAGTATTCAAAAAAGCTGAATTGACGGAGGAAGATATTTTTGATGCAACAGAGGGAAAGAGAATTAACAAGGAAAATTATCGAGTCTCCCACAATTTTCTCCACAGATGTATCCCTCAAGGACCTTAATTTCATACCTTTGAGGGTTATTCATATGAAGGTAATGATGAATTGCGTGGATTCCAGTTTCGAAAGGTTGTGGCAGTGATCTATTATCAGAGGCAAGTTATACATATGTATCATATCTGTGCTTGACGATCAAGAAAGCAATACTGAATTTCTCAATATTTTTTTGGAAAGCTGATCTTATAAGCTATGAAATTGGACTATGTATTGGATTATATGTAGTATGTTTCATGATTTCAGCTGGAAATCCGAAATGGCTTGCAAGAATCATTGAAGAACTGGAACACAAAATTAGTAGTGTATTGAATGAAGTTTATGCATTTCTTGGATTCCTATCTACTTACTGTACAATTTGCAAACTAATAATACTCACTTCACAGAATCTAAGAGGGACGTTATTATGAATAAAACTTTGAACTTGAGAATGCGTTATCCGTTGTCCCTAATATAATCAAGCTCGAGAAAGAAGTGAAGGCAGAGTGTGGGATGTCCCTGAAGCTAATTATATCAAGCCAACACCAGCACCAGCAACGATACGAATGGAGGTTTTCTATCTCAGATTTCTAACTCATGGGAAGAAATCGCTAGTATTTTTGTGTCTCTTCTAAGATTTGAACCCTACAGATCTCTTATGGTTTTCATCTACTTCATTGTCCGTTAAACCACACCCATATTAATTATCATTACAGACTCAATAGTTTGTGGATAATTTCTGTTCCTATCTCATTACTTGAGATCCTCATTTACATTATCATATAGTATAAATCTAACTTCTTTTTTTCTTTGGGGAGCAGCACGAAATAGTCATTATACTTTTTAGATTCGGACAAGTGGAATGAGAACGCAACAAAGCTATTTGGTAAAGTCCTTATTTTAATTATATGTGTAACACATTTACATTCATAATTCATTATGTTTATTGACTTAACACAACAAAACTAGTTGGTTATGTCCTTGTCTGAATTATATTATATGTGTAACACATTTACATTCATTATTTATTATCTTTCTTGACTTAACGCAAAAAACTATTTGGTTAAGTCCTTGTCTAAATTATATGTGTAACACATTTACATTCATTGTTCATTATCTGTCTTGACTCAACACAACAAAACTATTTGTTAAGTCCTTGTCTACAAATGTAAGTGTATCTTTCAAAGAAATCTGCCTATATAGATATGAATAGCCTTTTCTTAATTTTCACTATCAACTCTCAGTACACAGACTTACTCAGTATTTAGAAACAACTTGGACTAAAACATGGGATACAGGCAATTCTCATTTCTGATCTTTGTCTGTTTCTGTCAGCTTTCTTTTTCTTCATCCGTACCTCATTCGTGCCTCAAAGATCAAAGCACCACTCTTCTAAAATTCAAGGAAACTCTCACTTTAGATCCCTCATTAGTTACATGTAGTTCCTACTCTTATACGAGTTCATGGAATACGAGCAGAGATTGTTGCTTGTGGGATGGAGTCATATGTGATGAGATGACTGGCTGTGTGATTGAACTTAATCTCAGTTGCAGTGGTCTTGTAGGAAAGATTGATTCCAATAGCAGCCTCTTCCAACTCTCTCGTCTCCAAAGGCTTGACTTTTCTTCTAATAACTTCTCTAATTCTCACATCTTGCCTGAATTTGGAAGGTTCTCGAGGTTGACACTTCTTGATCTTTCTGACTCCTATTTCTCAGGTCATATACCTTCGGATATATCTCATCTTTCTCAATTACAGTCTCTTCACCTCTCCCCGTCATTTGAAACCATTCTAAGACTCACAGCCCATGATTTGAAATTGCTCCTTCAGAATTTGACTAAATTAAGAGAGCTTGATCTTACTTCCATAAACATCTCTTCCACCATTCCTCCGAATTTTTCTTCTCATTTGACAACTCTTAGGATGGGAAATACAGGATTGTACGGGATAATACCTGACAGTATTTTTCACCTTCCCAATCTGGAAACACTTGTCTTACAAAACAAACAATCAGCTCAGTGGTTATTTCCGAAGACCAAATGGAACATCAGTGCATCTCTCATCTTTTATGTGAATTATTTTCAACCCTCCAAACATCAGCCCAGTTGAAGGCTGGGCATTGTTACACACGCGCGTTTTCATTGGTCCACGTCACAAAGGGTTTTAAAAATATCTTACCCGTTTTATATAACCCATTCGTTCCCAAAATACAACCTAACCCATTTTTAAACAGATATCCCTAAATCTCTCTCAAATCTAAAGACCTAATCTGAAGAATAACAAGTCATTAGCGTGAAGGATTTGCTGAGTTTAGGATTTTCGTGAAGAAACAAAGTTACCAGGTTAGTAATTTTCGTTTAGATGATTGTAACATTTGACCGAGTTTAGGATTTTCGTAAAACTTAGTTTTTTTTTATCTTTTCAGTTTGACGATGGATGTGTACGTTACCTTAAGGTTTCACCATGGTGGAAAACTACAACAAAAACCTCGTATTAAGTATGAAGGAGGTATTGTCACTGATTGTTTTGATGTAGATGTTGATAAATTGTCCTACTTTGAATTTGTTGATATAGTTAAAGAAATTGGCTATAACGGTTCTGCTTGTGTTGTTTATATTAAACCACCTAAATGTCGACGTGTTGTTGAAGTTAAAAGTGATAGGGATATTATGGGTATTGTACATAAATTAAAAAATGTAGATATTGTTGAAATTTATATGACTCATTTAGTTGAAGAAGTTGTTGTGCCCCCCCTCTCCCCCGAAATTGGATATCTAAATGATGTGGGTGGGGAATCTAATACTACTTTTGATAAGGAATCTAGTCAAACTTTTGAGGGTAGTGAAGATTTAGGATTTGAAGAGGCTGCACAACCTGAAGAACCTATTGTGGGTGAAGAGTTGGGTGAAATGTTGGGTAGGACTTCTGCTAGTGTTGGAGAGGACTTGGGTAGTGCTTCTGCTGGTGTTGGAGAGGACTTGGGTAGGGATTCTGTTAGTGTTGGAGAAGACTTGGGTGGTACTTCTTCTGCTGCTGCTGCATCTGATATTCCAGAAGTTGGGTCTGATTGGGAAAGTGAAACAGCAGCAAGTGATGATTCAGACAATGCAGATTTGTCTGATGAAGGAGAAGATGAGTATGGTAGTGATGTTCATGGGGAGGTTATAAATCTTAGGAAAGAGAAAAGGGCTGCTAAAAAAAAAGGGCGCTAGATCTGAATGAGTTGATTAAGGGCAAAAAGGAGTTGATTTGGGATATGATGAATATTTATTCAAGAAACAAACTACTTTTGAGGGTAAGATAGCTGGAGATGAGCCCTACTTTGATCTAGATGAAGATGTTAGTTTTGAAATAGATACTGATGAAGATGTTAATGAGGAAGATGAGGTTGAACAACCTATAAGAAGACAAAGAAAAGCAAAAAGAAATAAAAAGAAAGTTGTATTTAATCCTACCTGTCAGTTAATAGTTTGGGAGACTGGTCTTGCTTTTGAAAGTGTTAAGCAGTTTAGAGAAGCTATTACTAGATATGCAGTTCAAGAACATGTTGAATTAGATAAATATGTTAATGATGCAACTAGGGTGAAGGTAAAGTGTACAGTTGGTTGTCCATGGTTGTTGTTTGGAAGTATTGATTCAAGAATAAGAGATTTTGTGGTGAAGAATTATAATCCAGTACATAAATGCAATGGCACAACCAAAAATAAATTGATGAATTCAAAGTACTTATCAGAAAGTTACAATGACAGAATTATTTCTGAGCCTGGCATTAGAGTTTTTCAGTTTCAAATTTTAGTGAAGAAAGAGTTGAATGTGTATGTAGGGAGGACTGTAGCAAGGAAAGCTAGAAACATTGTGTTGAAACAAATTATGGGTGATCATGTGAAATAGTTTAAAAGAATTTTAGATTATAGAGATGAGCTCTTAAAGACTAATCCAGGCAGCACATGTGTGGTGAGACTTGG